CTTCACCGCCAACTTTAATCTTCGTGATATCGAATTTCCCCAAAAAACGTCACCATGATTCCACCATTGCATGCAATTAGCTTTATCTCGTTCTTGATGCCTGCGCTTGATTTCGGCCCTGGGAGAAAAGATTTCAATGCGGTGAGAATAAAATTTAACTCAAGATTTTACACATGCCAAGCTTTGAGATCTCCAGAAATAGTTTATGGAAATGGTTCGTTATATTGACATTGACATCAGTTAGTTTTGAGAATCACCAAGTTTACATACATTTTCATCTCTAGTTCTTGAGCTGATGTGTCTATGTGCGCCGCTACCCTTTGGCACATTAACTACTTTGACGTCGCATAGAACACGAGATCGAGAGTTTTGGCACGTTGATCTCGATATATCTGCCAGTCTGAAGTTCAGCTTGGACGAAATATGCTAGTCCGAGAGTTGGAATCAATAGCCTCAACGTTTTGATAGAGCACTATCCTTCGTATGTCTCTTCATAGTGCCTCTCTCCCCTCATCGTGTACTCAAAGCTTACCTAACGCTTGTCTATGGGATTCCAATCGAACTGAGGATCCACCCGAGTTGGTAGGATCATCCTCGCCGTTGCTGGTAATGTGAAATAATCTTGATATTTGACACCAGTACACCTTCACGCTGCATGTAACCTCTGCCCGAAGATTCTCTTCTTCAATTTCCAGGGCCCCTTTGGGCATATGACAAAGTCCTGCCAAGTATCACTGCGAACTACCAAGAAATCTTCATAAAATACATTAATAACATACATAAAAAGCGAAGATCATTCGGCCACTCCGTACCATTTATCCCCACATACCAAGCCTTTCCAAATACTCCAAGACAAACCTCGCAAAATGTAGCCAATCAGAAACAAATGAAATTAATTACCTGACCATCTCACAGAAAAATTCTAGAAAATTGTAGATGGTGAAAATCAGGGTCATGCTCCACTCACTGTGTACCTGCGTATAGCCCTGTTCTCACACAAAATAAATCTATCAAGGACATCTACAGTCATGTCACTCCAGTGACTCCACCCTTCGACGGGCCTTCGCACGCATGCACGTGTGCATTCTTCCAAACCCATACCGTCAGCATAACATGTACTCCACTACTTCTAACACGATTCGAAGAATCTCAACAGCCAAGCGTAACGCATCAATCTCAGAATAATCTCACATTTCAGATGGATTTGAATCCACCTCAATCTCATACTCAATGCCAAAACGTGACCGTGACCTCCTGACGGTGAGTATCAAACTCTTCTGAAACCCCATCTCGGAAGTTTCCAGAAGTCCCCATTTTTATTTTACATGAGATGAAAATGTATGGAGTGTGTATGGAATTTGAGAGCTATGGTTGTAAGGAATGGACTATGGATGAAATGAAGGGGTTAAACGAATACTCTAAGTCGTTATGCATCAATTCTGCTTCAACCAACAAACAAACAACAAACCCGTTTCATGTTTCCGCACGAGCCGATTTCGTGCTTGACGGGGTACTTAATATCTAATTTGTGCATATACAGAGTATGGAGATATTATCTATTTACGTAGTCAACCACGATTCAAGGTGACTCGCAGGTAAGGAAATAAAGGAGTTCGCAAGCAAGTATCAAAACATGCGGTCACCGGTGGCAATTCTCGCAAAAATGGAAGAACCTCCTCTCCTTTACAGAGGGGCAGATGAAAAGGAGATCCACTCTTGAAATGGTCGACATGGGTGTTATCTTCAATTCCCCAAACTGGCTAGAAAAGCGAAATTTCCACCGAGCTGGAGATATGTATGTAATTTTAAAATTTCTTTTTGATTCTTGACCGCCTTGCAAGATGCACTCAGCCACTGAGATGATCTCCACCTGGGGTTTTTCATAAATTACCACTCACGAATTGTAAAGGGCTGGCACGGTAAACGGTACTTGGTCTCCTTGTTTAGATACGAGTGCAGGTCCCTGATTTGTGATGAGGGATTCCTGGTTTTGCTTTTTGTATGGAACCATTGGAATGTTTTGCTTGCTTCAAAGCTCCCTTGACGCCGCAGAGTATGGTGGATTCAAGATTGTGGAGTCTCAACAAAATCCTTCGAAATTTCTTCTAGAAGGTTTGCTTTGTTTATGGGGCGAGTATGGACAAGGGGGGGAAGATTACATGTATGGAATCATGGAAGCTTACATCAAAAGCAATGAAGTTCTCTCAACATCAGGATTCAGGGCTTCAACTCGTCTCCGCTGAATTGATTGTATTAATGCGAGAATTTCAAGGCTCAGGGCTGAGGCAAACGCCGAATATGTCGGTATTTACACATGGGAAACTCGGATGGCTTGATCTAGGATCTGGGGTGTGGACGAAGTTTGAGTTTGAACACACATGTATTTCCGGATATTTTGCAGATAGTGTATGCATGTGGAAGGTACTCGTGTTTTTCTTTTTCCCTTTTTGTTTTCGGAGTTTGAAGTTTAGGAGTTTTGAACTTTTGAAGATGCCGTTGAAACCACCTAATTTGCCACTGAAGATTTGGGAATCCGGGCTTACGAATTAGTGATGTGTACTGCAACGTATGCCTGTAGTATAGGCAATGATCAATACTGGAAAAATTGTTGATAGAAGAACTGTGTCCTATGCAGGCTACAGATACGGCCCGCTGAAACTACAGATCTTTGAATCCATCTATGGAGTAGTCCAGAATGCCAAAGGAACAAAAAAGGAACAAAATATTGATCCTTCCAAACAAACAAGTCACAACGAATCCACCTCCTAATTCACCTCCGCAAGCTCACCGCTCCTCCTCCTCGACAATTCTCACACCGCACCGTCACTCTTCCAAACTTCCCAGACTGTGGGAAATTAGTGTTTTCAGGTACGCAAGGTACATTCCAGTTATACGGAACGACTCATCATTCTACGAGAAACGATCAGCGACTAGAAGGAATGAAAGAACAATCTGTCAACTTCTTCCACGTGGAGTACTAGGATATTGCTTGATCCCCAAACCAAAACATCCATTCGCTTAATTTCCCAAAGCTCCAAGACAATTTTCTAGAAACTTGCTGTGGTTTTCTGGAAAAAGGATGTTCCTTGACTCTGAAGTTAGAAAAGGGATCATATCGGTACGAAGGCGGTGAGTTCAATCTTCTAGTTAAGGAGATGGAAACTGGGAAAGGAGATTTTGAGACGGAGTATTCCTATCCCAAGCCTTGGAATGAGAAGCTACTCAAACGAGTACCGTGCCAGTTCACCATTCGTTCAACCTTCGCATGTTCGTACGTACAGCTTGGTACTGAACTTTATTTGCGAATATCTATTTTCAGTAGTTCTGAAGCAACTTTAAGGTTAAGCACTAATTCTTGGATTGCGGATGGGAAATCAATACCATCCGCTACCATTATGATTGGTGGTCTTACGAGCAGATTGATAGATGGCGGATACCCACGGACAGGCAATTGAACTGCTCACGTACGTCAACCTTTTTAATGATGTAGACTTGAAGATTTCCTAGAAAGGGATCGAGATCTACAGAAATTTTCTTTCGAATTCGGAGAATAGAAGAATTGCACGAATGAGACGGGAACTTTGGAAGTCCAAGGAAAGATGTACGTAAAGGCATACGAAAAAATCATCATCAATTAGTCGAGTTTGAGAATGTAAGGAGAGGTGGCACTCCGTCGCTTGAAGTGTATTGATGGGTATTTTCCAAGTTTCATTCCAATTGTTGTATTTCTAATCATCTACCCATTACCCACCTGATCATAGAATTCACCGGAATTCTGAACGAATGTTAGAAATACGACAAGGTTTCGAGATTCGGACTTTGTCATCGGAGCTGATTGTCCTTTTCGAAATATACTTTCAAATTTACAAAGTTTATCGCTTCTAAAACACGAGTACACTTTCTACTTACCCCTCCCTCCTCGTAAGCGCCAGGAAGGAACCGAGAATATCCATCTCGCGAACCCAGCTTACCCGCCCGCGTAGGATTGTAAGATAAGCGCCCGACGTGGCGCCCGTCATCTTATTCTCCGTCTTACTCATTTCCACTTCCAATTTATTGCCCCGGAAAAATCCTTCGTGTATAGAAAATTAGCTTTTGGGGGGTGAGGTGCTGAGTTGTGGTGATGAGATCAGAATAGACCTAGTGGTTAAATACGGATGGGAACATACGAGGCTGAGGTTGCGTGCCGAGAATATTCATCCGTGTTGAAAGCATGATGGGGTTTGCATACGATAGTATACGAGAGCATACGAGAGCACACGATAAGCCTCACTACCTTACGAATATCGTACGAGGTTACGAGTATGATGAATACTACGTATTTGCATTCATACCCAATGACCAGGTATCTCAATTATATTTTCCCTTTCTCCAATTCCAAATCCAATCATCTCCGTTCGTCCTCAAAACCCTTCCTTATCAAACTCTCGCTACCTTATCAGTCACCCATCTAATTTCCACTCACTCGTATCATCCTCTGCACATCAATCTCCTTATTCGTCCCGGGCACCCGAGCCGAAGCCCTTAGCCCGACGCGCCTAGCCTGCGCCCTGCATATCAGCAATATTTCAAGCTTCATTACACAAATAACAATTGTTCCTTCCACTTTAAGGGATGTTGATACCGATGGTCCGGTGTGGAAATCAAGGAACAAAAAGTTATGATCCGATAATATCAGGGTAACGGGGAACGTTGAAGATATCATTGGGGGTGAGCGAGTATGATATCTATCAGATTTATATATGCACGCAAGACGTAGGATTTTCGTACCTAGATAGCGTATGTCGAGAAACTGAAGATGCAGAAACTGGGTTGGAAACTCGCAAAGTTGGCACGGTGAGCGAGAGTTGGAGATGCAGGTGGCAATGGGACATGAGAGTTCTGGAGTGTGTATAAAGATATCATTATTGTAGCAGTCTAGTTCAATATGATTTAGATATCTAAAATTCCAACCATCACATCGCTCCATCCAGCAACCTAAGAACAGAACACCCCTCAAAATGCGTCTCTCAATCTTCCTCTCAGCCAGCACTCTCCTCCTCACTCACCGTAAGTCCCCAACGCCGATATCTCATTCCACTCCATCCCAGTATATCCCCAGCTCCACCACACTCAAACCCTAACATACCCTCCCTCTGTCATAGTAACAGAAGCATGCTATTTCAACGTATACTCCACGACCGTTGGTACCTTCAAAGCACAACATTCCGAGCCCCTCGATCACAATGGCGCACCCCAGACCCTCACTGGAAAATATCGTACCTGTTCTTTCTCAGCCGATCTTGCCGACGGATGTATTGTAACAGTCGAGACCAATGTTGGGTGTGGGAATTTGACTTTCGAGAGGATTGGTACTAACTGAGCTTGTATGTGAATAGAAGGCTAGCGTAGTCGTGGAAAGTAGGGGTGTTAGTTGTATACTCATGGGTAGACGAGGCTGAGATGATGCTGCACTGTGATACTGAGATCAAGTTAGTAGACTACGGAGTCCGCAGGCGGTCAGGAGTATTAGCTGGGCGGTGTGGAATAATTTCCCAATGATATGGTAACTAGTTCAATGTACCTGCATGCGAAAGAAACTAGCTTCAACATTTTCAAATTCGAATAAACCTCATCGCAAACAATGTGCTACTCAATTTAGCAAGAACAAGAAACAAACCCAGTAATCGTTAATCTTGTTTCTTTGAAAATGGAGCTAAAAAAAAAAAAGAAAAGCACTGCCCACTGCCCACTGCCCAGAAACCGTCAACAACGACGACTATGACGTAGACGGCATGTACATATGTCTCCCGTCGCATTCCATGGAAGTTTCGGACGCTCCGGCGACGCGAATGCGACGACTAGACGCGCACGGCCATGGAGAATAAAAATAATTCGTATCCATATACATTCAACTTGATGCTAAACTGAGAATACGATAAAACCCTCTGACTTCTCGATCTACCATCACAGCGCCGATGATGTGCAGCTCATACAGTCCTAGCAGTTTGCAGCATCATAATACCAGTGAAAACGTTTCTGTGTCCACACGGTCCACCCAGAACGCCAATTCCCACCTATACCCCGCTGTCTGTGACACGGTTGAGAGTCTGGGCAATATATTGGGAGCATTTATAAGCTATATGTATTCAATAATAAGTGTATGAATCCAAGATCTAGAATAATGGGGATCACAGGCTCAATAGTCACTTCCCGATTCGATCATCAAAATTGCCAACGTCCGAGCATATTGGCCTAGAAACAGTACTTGTGGACAATTCTTCATCTAAACACAACGTGATTAGTACAAAAAAAGTGGGAATTTCCCCCCATAGCCTTGGAAAAAATAGCCGACGGGATAATTCCCACTGAATAGAGAGAATGTAGTCGAAGGGCTTATGATGACACTGTCGATCGATGTAAAAGTCTTTCAACATCTAACACCATTCTTTCTTGGTGCCAGACCACTGGGAATATTTCACCCATTCATGTTTTCCCAACGGTCCTCCAAGGATCCTTGGTCCGTTTCACCATCGTCGGTTAAGATTGACTTCACGTTAAAATAGACTTCGGGGAGTTAAGCAAACGGCTATCATCGACTGAAAGCGAAAAGTCTCTTCGGCGAACCAATTCGGAGCAGCATTTCGGCCGAATCCGATGGCTGCCAATGGGATTCTTCAATTACACTACAATCAAGACGCCATGATGTTTTTTATCGATGGAATAATTACCCGACAAATATTATTTATACTTTCTCCCAGTGATGAAGAGTTCTGTGTACGAAACAAACCGTCCGTCCGCATGGGTGGCGTCTCTCCCGCACCAATCAAAAGTTCAATTCTGATCTTAACTCGACTATTCTTTCACCTCGTACGTACACATAACGGATGAAAATACCATACTTTGTATAATTTCTTTTGGTCCGCGCGCACTTCAGTGCCATATCGTTTGTGGGGAAGACGGCAGAGGGAACGGGGGACCCGGAGAGGGAAGTCCATCAGGGCTTGGACCATGTTGAGTAAATCCAGGGACAGGAGCGTGTGATAACTCTATTTGGTGATTTGTCCTCGCCTTGATGAAAGATAGTTTGAAGTGAATACACTTGTATCATCAAGATCTTTGGGTTCTGATGCGTAGGTAGATCATTGTAGCTGTCATCTCTGGTCTTATTTGTTGGCCGGGTTTCACTTTGTAACTTGCCATATGCACTTAACTGCAAAATATAGCTAGGGGTGGCTCTTGCTTGATAGGCCAATGATAAAAATTGAGCATACAGGACAAATTGTGACATCGGCATCAGGTCGAATTTACTCTGCGCTGACCATCTTCCATGCTTCAACTTCCTCGCACCTGCATGTCTTCCAACCCAACACGTATGAGAGTTGATGATCAAGAGCTCGCCAGATGATAAGTTTGTGCTTAGAAGAGTATAATGTTGAGCTGAGGCCATCAGGACACTCTCACAGACGTTCACTACGAAACGGGGATAACCCAAACCTTACAAATGCCGCGATAAATCAATCGTCACACAATCCGCCATAGCACCATATAACGGTAAAATGATCGACGGTAAAGCAGAGCTTTGGGCAGAGGCACGAAGATGCAGGCACTGAGGCCAAACTCCTTTGAGAGTGCTTTCAAATATTGACCTTTTCGGACAATATGTGTCTCCAAATTCGCCGAGTTTGACAAGCGGACATTTTAACTTTTTCTTCTCTTGAAAAGTTTACATATCAAAAGACTTGGCTATCTCTGAAATAAAAGGTTTAATTGGAAGTCCGTTCTCCAGATATCTTTTGATTATCGTGTAAGAATTACCAAGACCACTGGTTTGTCTGGGGATGCGGTTATGGCTCTTCCGCAGTCGTGGAGGTCCCCAAATCTGCCTTTCATTGGATGCTGTATGCGAGTAGATGCAATTTGGAAATCTGGATCTCATAGATCATCTAGCTGTGGTGGCATCTGCGTGGACGTGATCCAATTCTCCATCATTACTTGACCTCCATTGGCGGCTGGAGCTTTGCCCTTTTTGTCTTTCCGTTTGACGACCAAACATAACACGCGACCGTTCACTGAAAATCCATCGTAAGATGTATCCATTGCCATCTTCTTTTTGTCGTCATCATCCTCTGATACTTCTCCATCTTTCCGACGTTTCGCTAGAGGACCAAAGTCAGAGTCTGTAGATTCCCGCCCAACTCTTGAACGTTTTGATCTGCGAGGCCCTTCATCTTCACTAATGAATAAATCTGAATCATCTCCTACTTCAGGTATGTCTTGTAGAGAAAACGATTCTTCGCTTGCTTCTCTCACAATCGCTGGACCATCAGCTACCTCAATTGGCGCATCATTCGTATTGCCAGTAAGTTTGTCGGAATTCGACTGTAAAGCTTTCTTGTTTCTATCTCGAAAATGCTTGTGTTTGAAAATGATAGAATGCCGTGTACTGGTTTCCGTCAAAAATATCGATACTTCGAAGTCCTCTGCCGACAATTGTTAATGGATGTTGCGTTGTTGTAGACGCTCTCAGCGATTCCACTCACCATCACTCACAACATCCTTCACGCCCTTTTTCTTTCCTTTCGACTTGCTCCTTTCCTGCTCCTCGCGCAACTTTGGCAGAACCAGTGGACGAACCTTCTCGATGACTCGGGGCAAGACTGGGTTTCTTGGATTGAGTAGCCAACTTTCTGCCAAAGCTGGATTGTCGACATATATGCGACATTCGAGAACAGAATATTTGCTAATGCGCAGATATCTACGTATTGGCGCCATTAAATAAGAATGTGTGTGATGGCGTGAATAATTTTGTCGTGGTTGTACCCGGTTATTTGTTGTGTTTGTATTTGGGAGCCTTCTACAAGGCTTGAAGCTTGAAGCTTGTGATTAACCTTCTTCAGCCTTGCTGAAATCTCACTGACTGGGGTAAGCTATTTTTGCCCTGTAGAGAAGAAATTCATTGACTTTATCGCAAACACGTCTGACACGTCGGGTGGATAGGGAATTCATTGACATTCATTCATCTTCATATTCCTGATTGTCTGATAGTTGACTTGTTTCCACATTTCAATCCCTTTGAAGCTCTCCTGTTAACCCCTTGAGAATGGCTTAAAGACAAAGGTTATCGATAACCTTAGTGTGTGTCACCTTGCGAAATCTATCGCCAATATCGATTTACAAATTCGATATATTTATTCTTGCTAGAAGCATACGAAATTTGGATTGTAAGTAGATCGAATCTCGCTTCTGCGTGTAGGTATACAGAGTAGGTCTTGAGACGATAGGGGTATACAACCTCGACAATTATAGCTTGAATGTTTGGTTGGGTTGAAAGCTATAACTACACTGTCATCCCATCAACATCGGTGCGAAACATTTATCTGTACCATTCCTTTCTTTCAACAACTGTTGTAACATTCTTCGGGTTAATACGGACTTTCGATTGTGTCCGCAATCCGCAAATTCAGTTGAGGTGAGGTCATCTTCGCCAAGCATATCCACACATCGCCGTATCACCACGATATCGAATCGATATTGAATACTCAAATTCGGAGAAAGTCGGTACGGAATTCTCACCGTCTTCATTTTAACTCCTATTTCTGCATCGTGATTATTCAGTGAAAAGTTTCTCTGGTATTTGATCTTTGATATTCCTCTACAATTTGAGCCTTTTAGACTGGTGGATTGCACATCAAAGGGAGGGAACATTATATGATACATAATGAGTTGTAGTTTAGCTACCTCGAGAACTAGGGGCTCGGCTCTGTATGCTGGGAGACTACCCAAAATCATATCGACTTCCAAATGTGGACAGGCAGCGGGCTTGAGTGCCGGTGCAAGATGTATCTCAACACGTGAACTCGACGCTTCGAAAGGCGGTTCGTAGCCCCTCCATTTGATTCCTACCCGTCCATACATATGTCTTATCTCTTTCATTTTCTCGAAACCCAATATTTAATGCTCAGTACACACCGGTCCGCCTACTAATACATACAGACCGTGAAAGAGTCCTGATTCTTGGCTCGGGCTGGTCAGGCTTCACGCTTTCTCGTCAACTGGATCCTAAGAAATATCAAACAGTTGTTATTTCTCCACGGTCATATTTTGTGTTCACACCGTTATTGGCTAGTACGGCTGTGGGAACCTTGGAATTTAGAAGCGCGCTTGAGTGAGTATTTGGAATTCTCTTGTGATTTTCGAGAGGGTGGGTGCTTCTGTACAGGGGTTGACGAGAGATCTTGGGGCTTGATTTTTGGGGGCTGAGGGTGGAGGCCTTGGATTCTGTATATCTGAGAGGGCAGGACTTCATGGATTGTTGCTAATACGCGACATGTAGGAGTGTGAGAGGCAGAGGAAGATGGAGAGGATGGGGGTTGGTAGGTGGCGGATGGGGTGGATGGGGAGCGAGAGGGAATGGGGTCGAGTTTTGGCAGGGGGTGAGTCGGCCTATTTCCTTTCCTTGATAATGTGGTGAATGGCGCTCAAATTTTCTCCACTGCTTGTCTGCCAAAGAACAGGATTCGCTTTGCTCCATCATTTTTCACAAATGTCGGAAGTCAATATGGATTACTAACCAACCTCACCACCACAGTGGGCAGACGATGTAAACTTTGATAAGAAAACTATCAAAGTAGAAGAAAACGCGATTGAGAGACCCAAAACAGCTTCCACGACAATAGAAAAGAAAGGAAAAGGAAAAGTATTTGAAGTCGGCTATGATAAATTGGTGGTTAGTGTTGGATGCTATAGTCAAACATTTGGGATTGAGGGGGTCAGAGAAAATGCATTGTTTTTGAAGGATGTTGGGGATGCGAGAAAAATCAGAAAGAGGATCTTAGAATGTGGGTTCATTTCTTTTATGAAGGAGGATGGACGGGGGAAGAGAAATTTGCTCTCACGATACCAATCTCCTTTCTCGACCTCTCGCCAAATAGAATTTCTGTCCCCTAGAGCGAAGCGAAGAGACCTTCACGGCAGTGGCCGAGCGGAGCGCCATTTAATTAAGAGGAATTGACAAGGAAGGAAGAAGTTTGGGGACGAGAATAACATCTACTGACTCTCCAAATCACAGGTTTCGAAACAGCTGCATTACCAACCAGTTCCGATTCTCTCAGAAAACAACTTTTGAATTTCGCCATTGTAGGCGGCGGTCGTAAGTTCTCTCTATTTATCTCCCTGAATTCCGCATAACACTTCCTGTCTAGCAACTGGCGTCGAATTCGCAGCCGAACTCTTCGATCTCTGTCATGAAGATCTCTCCACTCTCTACCCTTCTTTAACCCCATTCATAAAGATAACAATTTATGATGTTGCGCCAAAAATCCTTCCGATGTTCGATAAAAATCTTGCAAACTACGCGTTGGAACATTTCAAAAGAGATGGAATTGAGATCAAGACTGAACATCATATTTTGGGATTGCGAAGAGGATTGCCCAAGGAAGGAGAAAATGGAGAAGACGCAGGAAAGGGATTCACATTAAACTTGAAGGAAGAAGGTGATGTAGGTGTGGGAATGTGTGTTTGGAGTACAGGATTGATGATGAATCCTTTTATCGAGAAGGCGTTGAGTTCGGTTCATACTTTCCCTACTCAATCTGCTATTTTGGCTGGAAGCGTTAGCGAGAAGAGTATGGAGAGACCGGAAGATAAAAAATGGGAATTGAAAAGAAGTCCCAAAACGGGTGGATTGATGGTGGATAATTTCTTTAGGGTTAAATTGGCTACTCGTTCGTCTCCAGACGGGGCAAAACAAACTCAACAAGAAGCAACGATGAATGATGTCTTCGCATTGGGAGATGTGGCGGTCTTGGGAGATATGGGATTACCAGCTACCGCGCAAGTGGCAAGCCAGGAAGCGAGATGGCTCGGAAAGAGACTTAATAAAATGGACAAGGCAGGGAAGACGGGAGCTGCTGAGGATAAAGGATTTACCTTCAGAAATATGGGAGTTATGACTTATGTCGGGGGTATGAAGGCGATTATGCAAACGGATGGAAAGGGAGAGATTAAGGGGTATGTTGGATTCACATTTTTATCTTGAGACTTGATGATTCGATAGACGGAGAAATGAGATTGGAGGTTGGATATCTGCGAAGTCGTGAAGAACTCTAAGGAACTTAATTGCTAACGATACATCTAATAATAGGAGAACAGCATGGGTAATCTGGAGAGGTGCATATCTAACTCAAACCATCAGCTGGAGGAATAAAATACTCATCCCTATGTATTGGTAAGTTCTCATACTCTATTTCATTACTCTTGGTAAATTTCATCGGGGAATAAAACTAACGACAACAGGGCAATCAATTGGTTGTTTGGACGTGATATCTCGAGGTTTTAGCGGACTATATTTTTTATTTTTTTTGGAAAGGTTGGATGGAGCGAAGATTGAAGAAAAGGACATAGGTAAAATAGAAAGGAAAACTGCATAGCGATGGACGTCCTCATGCGTGGGAAGGGTGTAACATATTGTATTTTTATGTATTTTTATAATCAGGCTAATTCTACTATTTATATGATTCACACGGGTCACATATTGAAGTGGATGGATGACCAAAGTGGGATTCGACGTCTTGGGTTTAGTAACTTGCACCTTCGGTATTTTTGTCCTGTCTTGGGGAATCGACTAGTGAATACCGCACTGCGTCGTACTACATCAAGATGCGAATCTCGTTCATAATGTGGCATTTCAGAGCCCTAGTGTGAGAATTGACAATGAAGGGACTTCGGCGATGATATATTGTTGCTTTTTGTTTTGATCAACCGCCGCCTGCGAGTTTCATTGTCCGGGTATCGAAGGTCTTAAAGGCTGGAGCTCCTGTAGTTTGGTCAAGGTTTGCATGGAGGTGAAAATGCTAGGTGGCATATCATGGCGGTTCTGATTTTCCTGCTACACAGTACATGTGGTGGCCGTCGTGATTTTGGTCTCCGCTTAGTGGCAGAGGAATATTTGTAAGAGTGTTGTTACCTTTAAGCGCTACGAAGAGGATTTCGGATGTTGAGGTTTCATCAGAGGGAATTGGGAGAAATCACAAGAACTAGCACGAATGAAATAGATGTGAATGATCACCCTTTAATCCAATTCACCTGTCCCCACTTGATCTTCGCTAATTGTATACATGTATTGGAGGGTCGTAAGACCATCAGCTCGAGGCTTCTATAAGAGGGCCCAGATGTACGAAGATTTGAACTGGTCATTATCTTTAGACACAATGTCATTTAGTATCATGTTTTTACTGTGTTATTAAGTTAGTGGTTTTGAGAAGAACGATGTGGCATATTTAGTTTCGACCTGATTTACTCGGGGTTTATGATTGCTTCCTTCTTTTTGGTGTTTTTTGATTAATTAATGTTGTCAGCTGTAGGCTGCGTTTGATTACCTTGTAATGTGTAATCTAGTGACAGTAAACTACTTCGTATATACATCCATGACAGTGCAATGGGAAAAGGCTCACAAGTAGATATCGTGAACTTCTTGGTTCTGCCATTCCCGTTATTTAAGCTTCGAAATACAGGCATCTGAACAGAAAACGCGGCATATCTTTGTGGTATTGGCCATGTTTGCTGAGCAGACTCATCTTCGTAGTTTGCTCTGAAGAATGCGAGTACTCTACATATATATATGTACCTTGAACCTCCAGCAATGGGTTAAGACTCTAATTGAGATACATCGAGTGAATAACAGATACATACCTCAGCAAACGAATAGCCTTGGATCTGGCAAAGAGTGGTTAAATAAAGATCACCCAGACAGGGAACATTTTTGACATAACATATTGTTGGCTCCAGTGATACAAAGTCTCAAGAAAGCTTGTGATAAGCACCTTCCGCAGACTTTTTGCTTCTTGGAAATCCCATCATAGATATTAAATTATGACCCGGGGGAGAAATGACAAGAAAATATTGACACCGAGTTGTTGCGATGGAATTAAAGAGCGACAGAAGCTAAATGTAACATTTACCAAGTTGCCGTCGCATAATGTGAAAAGAAATGGCAGGTTCAAAGGATGGATTGTATTACACTATCGTTCGAAATTTCTTGTCCATTATGTTTGGAATGATAGTGGGCAATAGATTCGATATTGACAGCGAGAACTATTTTTACACTTGAGTCTCATTATGCCCATCATCCCACAATTTCAAGACCGTTTAGCAACGGAATTTAGTGATCTTCTATCTGGAAATCACTTTTGATGATTTAAGATCATCAAGGAAAACAACACCGAGTCTTTTAAATCTCTGGTTTGGTTATTGTTCAGGTCATTGTGTGTTCAGACTCCTACTTATCTACCTATGTTTATATATCCCTCTCCACATCACGATGAATCTTGGTCTTCAAACCCCGCCCGGGCTGGTCTTGTCCATTCCAATTTCTTCTATTTCACTAAGCTATTCTTTGGGTTCCATGACTAGTTCTTACTCCTGAAAATGCATGTCCTCTTCTATAAAAGTTCTCCCTAACCATGCGGATGTGCTTCACATCTCAAAGAATCCACTCGCGTTGTTAGAGCTCATACCGTGGTTCCTGATCTACATTTTCAGCTATACATCGTTACGTCGTTGTATTCATTGCAGCTGCGGCACCTGAGTCAAAGTATCTGGACTTTTTGCAGGATGACATCTTGTTGTCTCATCTGATTGTATCGTTTTTTCTCCGAGGATTTGCACACTAAAATAACTGACAGCATTTATGGATCTGACAGCGATGGGAACAGTAACCTGATGCTGTAAAAGAGACACTTCACAATATCAAGGACAAGCAAGATCACAAAAAGTATTGCGATTGTAAATCCTTAGAACGTGATATCTTAATGGTAAGTCAGGTTGCTTGAATTCTCTGCTTATAGAAAACCATTGATATTTATATCTAAAAAAAAACGGTTTCAGCCTCTTGCAATAGTGAATATCCTGCTATAAATCTTGAACTTCAAAATATGAAGTGAATTTTTGTACTCTATCCCACTTGAGACTATATTTTCCCCAATTGGAACGGCACGAATAAGGAATGATTAAGATCAAGTAACCTCATGGCCAAGCACAAGCGAGGGAACTCCACTAGCAACAACGAATACAGGTGTTCGCAATCTTTGTCAGGGAACGAAATTCGGGAGAGAAAGTATTAACTGAGATTATTTTATCAAATCTCTTCAGACAATAGGCGTATTAGCTGTGAATGACAAGAAAGAAAGTGATAGTAAATATCGACAAGTTATTTTGATAACAATGCACAACTTACATACAACATTTGTTGTCGAGAATTCAAACTTCATTTTCAGATAGTAATTAGGATCCGTTTTTAAATCCTAAGCTCTTCACAACAGAAAATGACATTAATGCCATGTCTTCCTATGAGCATTTCGAGATAGTCGCCTGCATGTATTCATCTCGTGTTTGCATAAGAATCATTAAGAAGAGAAATTCTCTAAGCGCTCAGAATCCTTTAAATAACTGGGAAAGGAGTAGATGTTCCACAACATTCAATATTCACCACAGAACCCCCGCATAATCTTCTCATAAATCTTTACCCTTACCCCTCAAATAACCGAGGAACTCCACCAGACAATCAAGTAAGTGCATCGGCTCCTCGATCTACTTTCTACTCCAGCCTCAACAATATCCGCTCACTCAGAGTATTAGAGTGATTCACTGGAAGTCCTTCAAAGACCTCGGGAATGTATGCAAAAGAGAACTATCGCACATGCGATTGAAAGTAAAGACCGAAGCTCATTTAAATACAAACTCAAGCCCACACTGAAAAAGCGAAGTCTGCACTGCAAAGAAGGTCTTATGTCCAAGAGTATTGTACAGTTGGATTCAGATTCAAGATTCAAGGTCGGTATCATTGAAAATTTTTGAGAAATTATCCGGCAGACAGGAATACATAGCATTGGACGATATTACCCATCCCTGTTGATATTCCAGAGGAAAGCCCGTCGTCTATTGCTTTATTTCAGCCCTATGATAAATATATCTTATTAAGGTATATCTTAGCACAGACATATGAATCAGGTATTGAACAAACACAAACAATGAGGCGGCAAAGACGACAAATTACATAGCGATCAGACTCGTTACTAAAGTGTGAGTAGCTTCATTCTCAACTCTAGGTCTATACTGTTTAACATGGATACCATCATGCAAAACTAGCAATAAAAATTACCCTTCTGACAGCAAGAACATTTACTAAATCACAGAATCGACAAATATTGACAGACAGTGATAATAACAAGTAAGACAGGAAGAATTATCAGTTTAAAACTACTTTACTTGACAATGATGATACCCGGATATGAAAAAGGGGAAGAGGAAAAAAGAACACCACGTCAACAACCACCCATCACATCATCCGCAAGACCTGAGGATATCAGTGAAGCACATTGTTAGGTGGGTTGTTGATTAGAATGTAGAGAAACGGGGTATAAATACCCTCGAGGGTCTTTTATAGTAGATCTTATCAGGCTCTCGATTCTACTTCTAGTGAATGACGGTTCGAGGAATTCGGCAATGAATGTGGATGGATATCATCTCTTGTCTGCTCTCCCCATTAAAGTGAATAGATCAAGAACATCTCCACCTCAATCATGTATCCGATTACAAAAGGCGCGTGATATTCATGAACTATTCCATAGCCTATCAGACCTAAGCTGCATCTGTCAATTGACCCATGTGTGAGTATTTCTCCCTTTCCGCCGACTCATCAACATACAGATATACATAAATTTTCAAGCACCTCGCAAATATCAATCAAGTACTAATACTTGCCCCGTCCCATCATCATCATCATCATCATTATTATCATTATCCTTTGTAATATACAAAACAATGAAAAAAATGTACATCATCCCGACAACACTAATAACCTCCTATCAATAACAACAGCAAAAAAAAGAATAGCAATCAACATCAAAACCCCCTACTCCAATCCAATCCAATTCAAATCCACAAACCCATAAACCCACATTCAGCCAAAAGAACCTCCGACACTCCAAACAAAACATAAAACATCATGCTGCATGTCTTCCCTTCATCTCCATTCTTACAGATGTTGTTGCGTCGATGCGTGATTAGGATTTGGACTTTTAAATACTCGGGTACTCAGTACCCATGTAATATCTCCTTCCAAGATTGACCTTGAAATCTCGCTACCCCTCGTACCTCACCATTCACCAAAATCCACCATCTACCATCACCATTGACTACAATCCAAATCCACAATCTCCCCTCCCACCTCCCCTCTTTCCTCCTTCCCCGCCCTTCTCACCATCCATATCTATCCCTCTTCAATTACCCACCCTACCTACAATCCCATCTATTCCATACCGCCTAAGTTCCCAAGTTCCTAATTTCCCAATCCAGAAGCATCTTAAACTCTCAATTATCGCCAAAGAATTCCAATTCCAATTCCAATTCTAACTCCAAGACCAAGACCATCCCCCTTTTATGTACAGCAAGAATTTCATCTCCATTAGGACTATTTGCTATTACAACCTTCTCCAGCTAGATATACACTCACTCACTTACTCACGTACTCATTCACTCACCCATTCAAAAATCTAAGAATTGATGTTTCCTTCCTTTTACTAACTACTATTCCATCTCATCCCCTGCCCCTCCCACACACCCAAACCACCACTCAAACAATTCCAGTCAGAAATAACAACAATAATAACAACAATACAACCACATCAACAACCACATCCATACCACATAACACAACAACCCACACACAAAAAAGACATCAAAGCAACTTTAATATTCAATCTCCATTTTAAATATCATATCCCACCTCTGGAAAGTAGTCTGTGTTATCTCATGAATTTCCTATGGGGAGTATAAAGTATATTTGAATTCTTAAATAGTCATCCATGGATGTTTATGATTACAGAATACAGAATAGTGAATAATAACGCTAAGAGAGTTGACCCAGCAGTTTGGTCTAGGACTTCAGTTTACAATATATTTTACGTATCCATTCAAGAGCTTGACAAGATTGGATGATGCTGTTGGAATCAGGAGATATTGTGGTACACTATAAATTGCCATTCTAGGAAGATGAGAGTAGACGCATGCATTGTTTGAAAACATCGTGTATGTCAAAAGAAATAACTAACTAACCAACTGATACTCCTTGCCTACTCAACATTACCCACAATCACAATCACAATCCCTCTCACTCACCAATCCACCACACCATCCCTCCCTACAATCTTCCCCACATCCTCATCTCTCTCCCCCTCAACCACACTCCTAATAATCAATCCACCCCTCCTCGGATGTTCACAGCCCATCTGATACGCCAGCTGCGGACCCAACCCCCCCAGATTCGTCGCGCACATGCCCGGACCCACCGCCCAAACCTTGACTCCATCCGCCTTCAACTTATGATTCCAATCCAACATCAGCATATTAAGCGCCACTTTCGAACATCGATATCCGATGGTTTCGAAGCCGATTTTCTTTGGCCACCCAGCTGCTTGTGGAGGCGTGGGGAAATATTTTTGCGCTGCTTGATTGATCGTTGATAAACCGGTGACGAATATTAAACGAGGATCGGAGGATTGGAAGAGGAGGGGTATGAATGTGGAGGTTAGAACGTGAGTACCAGCTACATTGACGTCGTAGGCGTTGTTGAAACATTCACGCAGTGTTCCTTTGCCATTTACGTATGCGATATCGAAAGTTGCGCCTAGGAGGGAAGAATATTAATTGGGCTTTTACATTTCCACAACACGTGAAGAAAAAGTTACATACCAGCATTGTTAACCAATGAATCCACTCTCCCATGTTTTTCCTTGACCGTCTCAAAAGCCTTCTCAATACTCTCATCGCTCACGAGATCAACCTCTAGTGTTTCAATTGTGTTCTTAGAACCTGTAACTTCCTTCTTCAAATCATCAATGGCAATTTGAGCTTTTTCCAAAGAACGGGCGCCGAAGAGGATATGGTATGGTTTGGTCGATTGAAGAAAGGCTTTCACGGCTTCATAACCTATGCCACTGTTTGCGCCAGTAACGAGAACAATTGTACGGGATGACATTTTTGATCAATGATGACAAATTGGGGGCTAATCGTCTGATATGTATATTTCTGAAGAGAGTTGATCTGCTTTATCTGCAGTTTAATTTCCTATCTGTTAGTGGAATACACAACATCTTTATAGCAATTTCAAACTCTACAACAAGAGAGCACGAAAACCGGATTTAACATAAACTCCTGACGAAGCCATTGATTTTCTTGATAATCATCATCATCGTTGATACAGTAGATGATGTTTGAGATCTCATTTCGTCCTCTATCGATATCATAGATATCCAACCAGAGAGTATTTTCCTATCCGGGAAACACAACCGAGGAATCAGATATTCCGCCCTATCAGAGAGTATTTCCCCTTTTCGACTATACTCCGAAGGACGAAGGACGAACGACGAAGGAAGAAATAGGATACTCCGAACCATACTATATCGGGAGATACTCTCGAGGCCATTTTGATTCTCGATGTCTCATTGCGTTCGGTCTGGACAAGCTTCACACTAGCGCAATCCCCCGCACGGATTAAGAACTTCATGTGCTTTACCTCCCTCGCGAGTGATAGAAAAAGTCGAACACTAAAAATCAACACTTCAAGTGAAATTTGATATTTAAACAACAAAGCAATATGATTCTTAAAGATTCCAAGATTTACTAATCATTATACTCAATTTCTTAACTAGCTTCCAAAACGTGACTTTTCTACACCTCATCAAAACTACCTAAATGTTATATTCTATCTATATCAATCGATATATATATATATATTATACCTACTTCCCTCCCTCCCTACCTCCCTACCATATATCAAGAGACGTTGTACTATCTACTTCTGAACCGAGCTAATCGACTAAGCTCATTATTCTTATTCTTAATCTTTTTCTTATTCTCAATCTATACCATGGATATTCTCTCTCTTTGTTTCTCTCTTTTCACCATCTCATCTTCGTAATTCAATATATCCCATCCCATCCCATTCTATCCCGCCCATCCCATCTCATAATTTTTAACCAAATCATGACTTCTAATCACTACCTAGGTACATTAATCAATAACTCATAAATCTATCCATAAAATTTAAACCTCCTCACTACCCACCACCCCTCTACTAAATCTTCTCTTTCTCAATCCCCTCCCCTCCTCAGATCTTTCTCTTCCCTTGCCCTTCCCTCCATCTTCTCCTTCTTTCCCTCCCTCCCCATACTCCCCCATCACCGCATTCTCCCCCTCCTCTTCCCTCTCTCCATCCCCCTCTCCACCCAATCCCTCCCCCTCCCACCCAGGCAACCTAACCGCCCTATCCAACGCCCTCGGCAACCCCCTATGTCTTCCCCTCACCATAACCGCCACCAAAACAACCTTACTCGCCGTCTTCATTCCTCCCGAAAAAACTATAATCCTGATCCGGCAATCCCGTCGAAATTCCCACACAACCATACGCACTCACCACCTCAAAAATCACATTAAACACCGAGTACGTGATGGGATCTCTCTCAAACGACGACCCTTCGATACAAACAATAAGGAAAGTCGCGAGTGTCAACCACCACAAATCGTGAGAGAGTTGGGAGCGCAATTGGTGATGGATGAATTGGGTACCTGTAGTTTCTTCCTTGGGGGACGAGGTCGAGTTAGGGTTTGAATTTGATGATGCGGTACGAGGTATGCCAATATCCCTTCCACTTATTGATTTCCTAATTCGCTTCATACCTCTCCCCCATCTCGAAGTATTAGAATCCGTCTCCACATCTCCCCTGTAAATTCCCAAACTCCGCTCTTCATAAACATTACTGTGTCTCATTGTGATAACAACCGGATAGACACTGATATACATCATAACCACGTATAAAAACTGTAGTCCTATACGTAAACTTGGAATGCTTATGATATAAAATCCTCCACTTCTGACTGCAATCGCTTGGAAAAGTCCATCGAGAACGCGGTAGCGTGGCTCAATTACTTGAGTTGCGGAATTGCCAATGTTGAGGAGCTCAAAGGCGACCCAATCGATACTATTTAGAGTTATGACCATGAAGAGGAGCCACCATGTGGGACGAGAGGGGAATAGATTGGTATAGACGCGACGAGGGTAGCGGAGGATGAAGAGGAGTGTTGGTTTATGGTGTTGGAAAGGTGAAAGTAAGTTGGGGAATGTATCGAGAAGTTTGAGAAGGGTATAGAGAATTAGACGGAGGAAGAGTGGATATGCTGTGTTGCCGGCAAGAATTAGAAGACCCATCGTTAGGAGGGTATAGACTGAGGTTTGGAAAGGTATCTATTCTCGTTAGTTTTTGCTCCCCATAATTACACCCTCAAGGAATCGCAAAACCCAAAGGTGAAAGAAAAAAACGAACCATATTCAAATCCAATAAACTCATTCCTGAATTATTAAATGCACTAATCGCATTAAAAACTCCCAACCACCATGGATTAATTCCATTCTCAAGCGCAACATTACTTTTATTATAAGCCATATAGGCACCCAATCCAATTCCTCCTAACACTTGCCAAAGAATGAAATATAGTGGAACCAACCAAGCTAGAAAAGATATAGCTCGGTATTCGACACCTCCTAGATGTTCTCTTTCGGCTCGTGAAAGACCATGAAATTGTGCATTGCGGCCTGTAGTGTTGGAATTCAGGTATGAAGGGTATTGAAGTGGAGCAAGATCTTGCTGGCCTGTTTGGGTGTGATGGAGTGATGTACTGGTTTCTTGAACGCGATGCTTGATTGTGTTTTCTGAGGTGGATGTAGGAAACTGGAAGTTTGTTGATCGAGCTGGTGTTGCAGTTTCGTTATTGGAACTCCCCACTGTAATATCCTTTGCCTTCCCTTTTCCATTTACTGGATATGCATCAGGTGCAAACGTAATATGATCTCCCGTATCTCTGGGTACACCACCATGAGGAGAGATTTCCGAAATGGCAGTCATACAACTATCATCACTTTTCCCTCCAACTGGTCGGACTTTCAATCCTTCTTCCATCTCTAAAGCATCTCCGCTTCCATTCCCACCACTGGTCGAAGGGAACTTCCAATTGGCTCCCATTAGATCATTCCCATCTCCCCTCCTACTTCCCATAGCCTCTCGGCTTCCACTCCTCATTCTTTCTCTCCTCCTCTCTTCCTTTTGTCTCCCAACCACCTCGCCAAATCTAACTTCAAAGGCTCTTTTCCTTGTCCTCACAGTCGCCACACTGACAAAAATCGCACTCCCAACTACGATCAACAACCAAAGAATAACCTGCTGGAAAGTCGTCATCGTACTCAGATTAACCGTATTAAGACCCGCTTCCGTCATTGCCGATGTGACCATAAATAACGAATCAACATATGATATTGATTTGGAAGGATTCGACGAGCCCCAGAATATTAGAGAAGTGATGAGGAGAGTTACGATGAAATAGGTGTAATGAATTGTGATGAAGTTGAGTGGTGGTAAGAGGGCAAGGATTGGTGATAAACATCGCATCACTCGATCGTACCATTCATCGCCCATGAAACTCTTGAGAGATCGAGGTTTCTTATCCATCTCTTCTCGCGCGGGATGAGAATTGAAAAAACTTCCTCTCATACTTCTTGGAAGAGTCTGCTCTTTGTGTCCACGTGATGGGAGAAGTGATTTGAGCGGTCTGGTAGCAATTGGTGAATGAATAGCGAAGAAAGATCCAAATGTTCTTGGTGCTGTTTGTGAGTTGAGATTTTGAGGTACGGTTTGAAGTTTTGGAACTTCCAACCTTCCAGTTTCCGACTGAAGATTTCTCGATTCCAAATTTCTTGGTATCTTTGATTCCGTATTAACCTTTCCCTCTCCCATCCGAACTTTGCTCGCACCCAAATTCCCCTGTTCCGATTTCGTATCCAACGTGTATATCCCCGTTTCGTTCTCGTGCGGAATCACAATTTTTGGAATTCCTCTATTATCGTTTTTAATCTCCTCGTGCCGGTCGTATGCTTCGTGATTTACAATCTCCAATTCCCTCGAATTCCTTGCTGTAGTCTCGCAAGATGTTAGTTGCCCTGTTCGATGTTCACCTGACATGTTCTTTCTTTGCCTTCCTTCCTGTGTTGGTAATGGTCCTACTAGCTACACGATAGGATATGCAACAAATGAAAACTTCAATTATTACTATCCAATAGAGTACAGAAGTATCGTCAATTCCTAATGTATCATCCACCACCAAGAAGAAGAAGAAGAAGTAGCAGTACCGTACCAATCGATAACAGGAAATTGATATAACAATTCGTATACCGAAGCAAAGACAAAGCGTTCCTTCCTTCCCAAGCAAATGTCCAATCTCCAATCTCCAATCTCCAATCTCCAATCTCCAATCTCCAATCTCCAATCTCCAATCTCCAATCTCCAATCTCCAATCTCCAATCTCCAATCTCCAATCAAACAATCAATCACAATCAAAAGTGTGTAAAAAATAAAAAATAAAAAATAAAAACTCCTCAAAAATGGCCCCCAAAAACAGAAACCTCCTTCTTCCTCCTCGTCCAGGAAAATCTACCTTATGAATGAAAAGCAGATGGGGAAGGTGTTGGTCGTCTCGTTGATTATGTACATGTAGGGTATGAATGATATGATACCTATGCCGGTCAATTTTTCTGCATTTTTTTCTTCCCTTTTCTTCAACCAACCCAACCGACCTCTCATACATCAAGGTTACCCCACATCTAATTAATCCAACCAAGTGTCGGTCTCGATTAAAGTCCTTCCTTCCTTCCTTTGCTTCACCGACAGTTTTTGGGTGCAGGTGGTGATGAGGTGATCAATCTCGATATTGATATTGATATTAAGATCAGTATCAAGTGAGGTGAATTTGCATTCGAATACATCGACTTGAGTAATAAATGAGATACAAGAATTCCTATACACCTATCTACGAGTCCACATACTTACACCCCTACCCACCTACTACACAACAACAACAACAAAAAAAATCAAACCTCTCTCAGACAAGAGCCAAAAAGACAAAAAGCAAAAAAAGGCCATACCTACCTAGTAACCATAATATAAGCAATAGAAAAAGTTATTCGATCTTGGGTTAAAATTACCTAGGTATATATGCACAATCCCTAGGTATCACAAATATTAACAATATCACCAATATCATACTACTTCATCGCATAAACATTCCAAATTACCTACTACCTAGTACGAGTAGATACTATTCAACACCAGATGGTTGTGTGAGGAATTGAATGAATGAATAGGTGGATGGAGGTGAGGAGGTGAGGATGTGTATTTTGTTTTATTTTATTCTTCCTCTTTCTCTGGGTTGAATATCGAAATCTCAACAGAGAATCCTTTCCTTTAAATCTAACTACCTACCTACCTACCTACCTACCTACCTACCTACCTAGCCCTTAAAGCCTTAGAGCCTTAGAGACAGACAGACAGACAGACAGACCTTCAGACCTCCCTCCCTTCCTTCCTTCCTTCCTTCCTTCCTTCTCTTTCTCTCTCTCTTTCCCTTTCTCTTTCTCCATCTAAACATACATACACATACACATACAAGTCTGAATTAACCACCACCACCACCACCATGACCACCATGACCACCATGACCACCATGACCACCATGACCACAACCACAACCAAAACCAAAACCACCACCACCACCACCACACCCATAGACCCTTCCTTCCAGCCAGCCAGCCAGCCAGCCAGTCACCCAGCCAGTTATACATACACAGCCCATCGCTTCAAGCAAGCAAGCAACCATTCATAGGGAACCGCAGATCAGGTCAACCGTTGTCTACCTACCTACCTACCTATGCCTACTAGGTAACTAAATCACTCATCAAATTCATTCATTCATTTGTTGACTTCACCAAGATACAATATGTGTAAGTACCTAGGTAGGTAACCAAAGTTTCTAGATTTCAAAAAGCCAACATGCTTTTATTCATTCATTCACTCATCCTATCTCATACTATGCTATGCTATGCTATCCCATCTCCATCCATCTCATCTGATATATAGACATATACCCAGACAAATTTCTAGCAATATATCTCCATCTCCCCTCCTCCTCCTCTTTTCTTCTCTTCCTCACCCCATTCCTATATCCAATCCCCATCCAGGGTATCTACCATTCCATATCCCAATCCGATCCAGTCTAGGCCTTTCATCCAATTCATCCAATTCAATCTTCCTTATCCTTTCCTAAAATTCGTCCCACGATGATGACTGTAAATAACATAGGAAATTGGTGATGTGCATAATGCTACTTCCTTCCCTCACTCCCTCAATCCAAAGAAACAAAAAACGCCAGCTGAATAACGGGTGCATCCGAATTTGGTTTCTCCCTCAAGAGTATCCAAACCACCCACAGCTTATCCTTCATCCCACCCCCTTTCCCCTCCCCGTAAACAAATAAAATTATGTATGTGTGTATATTGCATAATATTTAAGTTTCCAAAACTCCTCGCAAAATGATATAATATCAAATAAATAGCGTACAAGCCGGTAATATAAATGGCTTCCAAACCACCACGAAAGATGGGTGAAATGGTGATTCTGAGTGTATATTAGAATTGAACAATGTTGTATAACATGATGGTGATGTCAATTCGTGTTTGTTGGTGTGTTTTTCCTCGAGAGCGATGATTAATTGGCGTCAATGCGATAAATCCGCGGCTCGATAATTTTCGATGGTGCTATGGTACCTGCGCTATTACCTTCATGAAAGAAGGATACCAGTGGTCCAGTTCTCGAATCCATGGGTCGATTGTGCTGTTGTATATAAAGAATGAATTCCAGCTTGTCGAATTAAGTTCAAGGTCCATGCTGTGAAGGATCCCTTGGGTGTTGACTTCTTCTTCCAGCTTCACCTCTAGCATTAGCCCATTCTTGAGCACCACTTTGTCTACCAGGTTGTTCAGCCGGTAATTTCTGATCTTCTTGTCTCTGAGGTGGAGGTGGTGGAGTTGCCATGTGTTGATTTGAAGATCCATCTGGTCTCAATCCCGATACAACAGATTGTGCAATGGATGCCACAACATAACCTCTCAGTTCTTTGTCTTCTCTCGCATCTTCCTTTTCCAATCGAAACCTCTCATCCTTATTCATATTTGATCTTCGAAGACCTCGAATTTCGTTTTGGATGTATAGCATAACTTCCTCTGGGCATTTGTTTCTTGGGAGAGCATGATCCGCTTTTCGAACATATCTTCTAGTAACATCGGTCGCACCATCCGTCGAAAAGGCAATACAGTAAGACATTTTCTTACCCCAACCTTCAGCATATAATCTCGGATTATCCCAAGCTTCTTCACAAGCGTCAACATGAATCCATCTCTTTTTCGTATCCGAATAAACTTCCGTCCAGACATGATCTTCGACATTCCAAACCCACCTTACACGACCTCCTACTGCGCGACACAGCATGCTGAAACAATTGGCCCATTCTCCTACTCTTCCTTTGCGCGTTTGTAATAATTGCCATACGTCACTATATCGGGGGAATCTTTCATATGCTCTACAATCTCCGGCTGAACAACGATACAATTCGACTTTTGTTGCTCCGCATGCTGATTCGTCGGGTGTAGGTGGTGTCATGCCTTGGGCTACTGTAGGTGACATGCATACTTGACATGGTGGATTGTTGACCCATGAAAAGAATGAACGTTTAAAACCATCTGATAAGAGGTTAGGACCAGTTACATCGGGAATGTAGAGCAAAGCGGCAGAGCGATGACGGGAAGCCAAGCGCAAATCCAAGACAGCAGAACAAACATACCTCAATAGAGCTCTAATCACACAATCTTGATAACCCCATTCGGGCTTCCTTCCATCTCCCATACTTTCGGCTTCAGCTTGTAATATTTGACTTTCCTCTTCTGCCTCTCCATATATCCTATCTAATGGTAAATGTTGTAGAGCTTCATCCAACAAACCGGGGTTTTCATATTTCGTAGGAGTTTGTGAGATGGAAATTAATAGATTTCGAAACTTTTGTGATTGTACATCTGCCGGTGGTGATGGAATCTTTGGTAAATTTCTTACGGACGAATACGAAGGAGGTGTTGAAGGGTTTGAATTATTTGATGAAGAAGTTGGACGAAAGTTTGGAGATTGTTGTTGTTGTTGTTGTTGTTGTGAAGAAGGCGCTCGTAAATTGGATGATGATGATCTTTCTCTTGGTGATGGCGATGCATTTCTTGACCTCGATTTATCCAATTCATTTAATCGTTTCGTCCTTAATAACCCTTCGAATTGTTGTCTTAAATCTTTTGCCCATGCTTCATCGTATTCCCCATTTGGTGCATTTCGATCGGCCATTTTGATATATTGTTGGTGGTGATGGCGATGTTGTCGAAAGAGAGAAATAATATTTGAATGTCGAAGGTCGAAGGTCGAGGTATTGTATTGTATCGTATTGAATGGTACGTATTGAAAGGGAAAAAGATGATTCGACACTCCTTCAATCTTCAACCTTCACAACCAATCTTCTCTTCGCTCTTCCTCTCTCTCTCTCTCTCTCTCCAGCTACTGTATGTATCTCTTTGTGTAAATTGTGGCTGGTTCTATAATCGAAAGAGGATTTTGGTGTGGTATCGTCCGAGGAATGGTCGTGATAACAATGCGTGGGTAGTCGAATGTACCCTCCAAGGATAAAAAGGAAGGATTTTAATAAAGTAAAAAGAATTGAAATGTAAATGAAGTAAAGTAAGTATGAAAGTAGTGGTAGAAAATAAAGTTGTATCTCCAATCAATATTTCTTTTCTTTACTCTTCTTTACTCTCTCACTCACTCGCTCACGCACGCAAACTCTCTCTCCGTCTCTCTCCCTCTCTCTCTCTCTCTCTCTCTCTCTCTCTCTAGTTTGTCCCTCGAGCACAGCCCTCCAAATCGAACTTGGGCACTTTTTTGGTCGCAATCGCCACTTTTCGCTTATGGTGTTTAGGCTAGGGATTATTCGTAATTTATAGATCCTCGTCAGGTTGGTGTTTTGAAGTATCTAGCTAGGTGGGTAGGTAGAGAAGGGAAGGGGGAGGGTGGAAGGAGGAAGAAATTGGATCTTTATGACTTTATCAATAACCTCAAACAAATTCGGAGTGAAAGCGAAAGCGAAAGCGACAATACTGAGTAAAGAATCGAGTTTGGTCGTCGTAGTTGTCCTAGTCGTCTCAGTCTTCTTATAAGTCGTCCTAGTTCTAGTTCTTGAAAACTAGATAGGTATGTAGTCGAAAGAAGGATAAAGTAAAGAATAGATAGTATTCTCTTACAAGTAACAGAATCAAAAGACTCGTATAATACCTAGGTAGAATAATGAACTGTTATGGGTTGAGAAATGTGTACATACTGAAATGGATATGCCCACTGCCCAGGTTAGAGGTGTACGAAGATAGTGTACGACTAGACTAAGAATTCACCGGTACTGCGTAAGTTCCCTCCCTTGGACTCAGATTTAGAGTCTAATAACTTAATTAGACTGATCAATAAAGTAGATCCCAAGATTTTTCCGGAGACCCAAAAAGTTTAAAAGATGTTTAGGGAACTAAGAGTACTGTGGTAGGTATTATCAACTTGAACAATTCATACATCCTCGTGGCATGCGTCGTGAGTTGTGACATCTTCCCCAATGGATAGATTCATATAGTCCATACCGAATCTATCCTTTCCCCCTCAGATGGGAATGATAGATGATTATCAATCTGTTGTAAATTTGCTCTTTAACTCTACTCGACTCTACTCGACTCTGTACACAGCAATATTTGGCTTGATTATTGCAAAAATTTAGATTCGTCTTGGCAATAAATTCGTACGCGCGGTTCAGTATCTAGGTCTACTATCAACTGCTCATCGGGACTCAGGACTTAGAATCCACGTTAATGGAGAGTCACAATGGTTTGGATAATCTGGATTCCTATCATACTAGTATTCGGAACTTTTGCATCGCCAAGATTATGCCAAGTCCATGAAGAAAATAGATACTCAAATTAAGAGGGGTTTCATTTACTCGTCGGTTTTAGGATAACGTGTTTTATCAGCATGTGGCCCATATCAGCATGTGGCCCACTTTCACCTCAATTCACACCTTTCTCTTTCAACACGCGTTTTATCAACAATCCACGATGAATTCGAAGAATCAAGAAGCTTGTATACTCCTTGCCATCGAAGCTATTCAAAAAGACAAAAAACTAAGCATTCGAAAGATCGCTAATATGTACAATGTCCCGCATACAACACTACGGCATAGAATTGACGGTTTATCCCCTCGTACTGAATATCGACATAAATCTTACAATCTTTCAGAACTAGAAGAGAATATCATTTCTGAATATATAATTGATATGGACGAGAGAGGATTTCCACCTAAATTAAGAAATGTGGAAGATATGGCGAATCATATTCTTGAATCGAGGGGTGAAAAGTGTGTTGGGAAGCTCTGGGCGCATCGATTCGTAAAGCGTCGAATCGAATTAAAGACGCGTTTTAGTCGTGTTTATGACTTTCAAAGGGCTCTCTGCGAAGATCCTGAGCTCGTTGAGAAGTGGTTTCGATTAGTTTCGAATATGCGAGCGAAATATGGTATTCTCGATTGCGATTTCTACAACTTCGACGAAACGGGCTTTATGATGGGTATAATATGCCCCGGAATGGTAGTAACTAGTGCTGAACGAAATGGCAGAAGCAAGGCAATACAACCAGGCAATAGAGAATGGGCTACAGCGATCATATGTGGTAATGGGGAGGGTGAAACTATACCCCCATTTCTAGTGGTTCAGGGACAGGTCCATCTTTCCAATTGGTATACCGAAACCGGTTTTCCTGCGGATTGGGCTATTAAACCTACATCTAATGGATGGACAAACAATGAGACAGGTTTAGAATGGTTGAAACACTTCGATAAGCATACTAAGAATCGAAGAAAGGGCAAATATCGAATGTTGGTGCTAGATGGGCATGAAAGCCACGTATCAGATCCTTTTCAGGCATATTGTAAAGAGAATGATATTGTATGTTTAGGATTACCACCGCATTCAAGTCATTTAACTCAACCACTTGATGTGGGTTGTTTTGGCAATCTGAAACGTTCATATGGTGGTCAAATTAATGGATTTATCAAGGCACATATCAATCATATTTCGAAGGTTGAATTCTTTATAGCTTTTAAAGCTGCATACGAAGAATCAATCACAATTCAGAATGTGAAATCAGGGTTTCGAGGAGCAGGTTTAATACCCTTTAATCCTGAAGCTGTGCTTTCGAAACTAGATATTCGAATTCGTACACCTACTCCCCCCTTTTTCGATCTAAACCAATGGATCTCTCAAACCCCTCACAATCCAACTGAAGCTCTTTCTCAATCAACACTAGTTAAATCTCGAATAACTCGTCATCAATCAAGCTCCCCTACACCTATATTCGAAACTGTATTAGCTCTAGCTAAGGGTACAGAGAGATTAGCTCATGAAAATACACTTTTGAATGCTGAGATTCGTACACTTCGAAAGGCAAATGAGGCATTAAGCAAGCGTCGACGCGCGAAAAAAACCCAATTACGCCAAGGAGGAGTACTTACTGGACAAGAGGCTTTTGATATATTATCTCAGCAAGAGGTTGATATTCAGATTCAACGCGATGAGCGTCAAAATAAGGGAAATCCTAATGGGGAAGCATTTTCTAATAGGTGCTGTAGTAAGTGTGGAAAACCAGGTCACAATTCAAGAACTTGTCAAAACAATGTAATAGATCCTAGATTATTAGATTCTTAATAGTTTTAATCAATTGATTCAATAATGGTTGAATAATATAGGTTTGAAGGTGTGAATTGAGGTGAAAGTGGGCCACATGCTGATATGGGCCACATGCTGATAAAACACGTTATATATGTTTTGTATGATCTTACAAATCAATAGATTCATCTGAATACTCAGATCTAAGGGAAGCCTCATTACATTTTCCTAAGTACATGCTACCTCTTTGGTACCCGACAAGTTACTAGTTGTAATCAGACACTGATAGATAGTCGGAAGCTTAAAAGAAGGTTGGCGTGGGCTACCTAGGAATGGTTTGACCGTTTTGGTGGACTATTAGATGAGAAGAAAGAAAAAAGTCAGGAGCTGACGACGACTTCTATTTAAGCGATCGACTCATTTCAATACTGAAATCGTCTTTCTATCTGACATGATTGGTTGGACGCATAGATTCGAGATCTTTCTCATCTACACCGAATTGTAGAGCTTTTCCATATCAATCTTCTATAGCTTCTCAGCTATCTTTCTAGGTATGAATGAAGATCTCTCTAGAACTGGAAAAAGATGATTCAAAACTTCACGAAGGATTCCAATATCTCTTGGCTAACGTGTATCATATGAACCATATTGCGACGACAATAGTAGATCTTTTTGCCAACGTTACGATTACCATGGATCAATCTCACCCGATGATACTTGGCACACTTCTTAGAGTGCTGTAATAATACATTGCTACTTTATTCATACAGGTGGTCATATAAACATCAGACGAATTATATTAACAGGAAGTCATAAAGATATAGACATAATGCTATATCAAAACTCTAGATCTCCCTTTCACTATGCCTTCTAAATAATTGCATTTCTCAATCATCAAATCTCTAAATTTCCAGCACAACCTCACCCATAACTGTTCACAAGGTATGAAATCCAAAATTCAAAATCAAAAGTTCGTCACCAAGTACATACGAAACGAAATCATACCCCTCAGTTTGAGCCTCATAAATGTACTTTGTACACTAGGTCTTTCGTTTCCTTCAAAGATTCGTACGCATACCATCGGAAACTGGAGAATCCGTCATCATCTTAGGAACAATAGGTGCTTCATCATGAGTTATCTACAAATACCTCTAACTTAGTGCCTATGGCATTCGTTTCTTAACATAACAATGCCATGTCGGAACAAATAAGTCCGTCGATTACACTTTGTACAAGCTCCTCGTTCGTCTTGGTATCAAGGATTTTGATATACATACACGCAATCCATCTTGGCAGAGATAAGTTGTTTTGAGATCTTCGGGAGTACTCGTATACCACAACACGTGGATATATATTTCCACGAAGACTATCTCAGTCAACTACAACAACAACAACAACAACAACAACGACTTCGTTATCTTCGTCTCCCTTCCCCTCGTACAAACATCAATTCCAACACTTCTTGAATCTTGGCATCGAAAAATCGTCAAAATCCAGACCTCACCAAAAATCTCAATCTCATCCCCATATTTCTGATTCGTAAAAATAATTTTCCCCATAATCTTTTAAAACCACAAGGCATACGCGTTTTTTCTTGGC